TGCATGTGTGTGCACCCCTGCATGCACCCTGCCTCCACGCATGCACACACACACCCCGCATGCCCCACAAAACATACACATGTGGCCCCGCATGTGCCCACACACGTGCCCACCCCACGCATGCGCACATTGGCTCCGTACATGTAGCTCACCCCTCACGCATGCACGGCAGGGACCCAAAGACCAGCTGACCAGTGAGAGGTGTGCATGCATGCATGGCAGAGCTGAACTGGGGCAATGGCTCGCATGCCCACAGAGAGGGTGCTATGTGCCACCTCTGGCACACATAGTCATAGACCCATCTCAAAGAACCCTACCAGAATCTGATGAAGTGGGCTCTAGTTTTCAAACTTTTTTCATAAAATCTGTTATTAGGAAGGTTGGTTAGGTGGTTCCAGATTCCCTCAGATTTCTGATTAATACAGCTCTCCTCCTACATTGCCCAAAGGAGAAGAGATCCTGGTAAGAGTAAAAGACTTTCCCTCCCAATCTCATTGAAAATTCTCCTGTACAGCTCTCTCCCTTCACTTTTAGTTCAGCAGACGTGTAAAAGAATTTCCCCAAGGATTTGGATTTGAGACATAGGTAGGATTTCTCTCTCACCTTGCTGTTCCTGAATTACAGTAGTGGCCAAATTGTGGAAAAGTGTATTTTCTAAAAATAGCTAATAACACCACTTTTTTTTTTTGAGTAGTACCATAAAATTATATATCAATGGAAAGATAATTTAATCAAGAATGTAATGTAATAACTTTTATGAAGGATTTGCTATTAGAATAGCAGTTACAGTATAAAGAAGAAAAGTGAAACATGTAGAAAAAAATGAGATATACAAAAATGATCACCGTGGAAAAAATGAGATGTACAGAAATTATCACGTCAGTTAATACTTAGTTGGGTAACCTTTAGCATGAATTATGGCCTGAACCATAATTGGAGTGAACCAAGTCTTTTAGTTCCGCAGCTGTTATAATGTGAAACCAAGATTGAAGGATTGCTTCTATTAGCTGGGTTTTATTGCTGGGTCACTTCTGACTAACAAGTTTCTTTAGTCGGCTCCATAGACTTTCAATTGGGTTAAGTAAGGTCTGGGCTATTCTCAGGCCATTCCACCAGTGGAATAGGATTATCTTGAAACTAAAAAAAAAAAGTGGTGTTATTAGCCATCAAACCTCAAAAATACACTTTTCCCAAAGGGTTTCCACAATTTTGGCCACTACTGTAGTAACTAAAATATTATTTTTTTAATAACTGCTTGGTTGAAATACTCAGGGCCCCTGGGATTTTTAACCTGATAGACTCATTTTTTAAAAAAAAAATGCAATTGCAATATTTTGCTTCCTTTTCTGCTTCATGGTCCTGTTCGGTAAAGGTACAGGTAGGCCTCGAGTTACAACAGTTCGTTTAGTGATGGTTCAAAGTTACAACGGCACTGAAAAAAGTGACTTATGACAGTTTTTCACACTTATGACCATTGCAGCATCCCCCATGGTCACATGATCAAAATTCAGACCCTTGGGCAACTGAGTCATGTTTATGACGGTTCCAGTGTCCTGGGATCATGTGATAATATTTTGCAACCTTCTGACGAGCAAAGTTAATGGGGAAGCCAGATGCCCATTAAAAACTGCAGTAGCAAGGAAGGTCATAAACTGGCGCAAAGCTTACTTAGCAAGAGAAATGTTGTGTTCAATTGTGGTTGCAAATTGAGGAGTACCTGTATTAACTCCAAATGATTCTATCTGCGCCAAGGTGGCGCAGTGGTTAGAGTGCAGTACTGCAAGCTACTTCTGCTGACTGCCGACAGCCAGCAGTTCATCAGTTCGAATCTCACCAGGCTCAAGATTGACTCAGCCTTCCATCCTTCCAAGGTCTATAAAACGAGCTGGATTGTGGGGGGCAAGAAGCTGACTCTGTAAATGGCTTAGAGAGGTCTGTAAAGCATTGTGAAGTGGTATACAAGTCTAAGTGCTATTGCTATGAACAGGTAAAGCCTTAGGTCACCAAGATTCATAAAAGGGAAATGCCATCTTGATCCAAAGTTTGCATTTTGTCTACTACTGCACTACTGCAATGGACCTTTTGAAAAGAAGGAAGCAAAACCTCAAGAAACCATCAGCAAAGTGGTGGAAGCAAGGCCAGTGGTCACAACAGCTGAGTTCAATTTTAAAACTGAGTTCCCACTTACCGTGTACAAGCCAGAGATGTTAAAGACAGAGAACTGAAAGGTGCAAGAGCATAAATAAAGGGGGGGGGAAATCCTCAAGAGTAACATCCATGCAAAGATCCTATCCCAAGTAGTTTCTCCAAGTAGTGGTTCAACCAATATCTGAGTGGACACTATGGAAATCAGACAGGGGTGAAATTCATTTACCTTCCCTACCGGTTCGCAAATGTCTTTGTGTGCGTCATCATCATCTGTGCATGCGCAAAGCCTTCTGCGCATGCACAGAGGCTTAAAATCATCGCAAAAAAGCAACGTCATGATGTCCATGTGGGTGGGTGGAGCCTCCCACAGCCGCCGCTACCGGTTCACCTGATCCGGATAGAACCAGCTGAATTTCACCCCTGAAATCAGAACATAAAAACTTACAATGCTGCAAATGTCTTTTATTGGACTATCTGATTCAAGGTGAAGGGTCCCCTTGTTCTGATGCACCTTGAGTGCTTGATTTAACCTCATAATATCTGTTTTCTGACATCTTCTGGATAGAAAACCCAATGTTAGAGAGAGACCGACAGAGCCTGGGGGAGGAGTCAAGCAAGGAACTAATTTGAAGTCCTTATATAGGCACAAGAAGGTGAAATCTGGCCCCTCTTGAATGTCAATGAAATTTATCTGGCTTATCCAGGTACAAACCGTCACTTTGAGAAGATTTCTGCGTATAGACATGAGCAATAAATCAGCTAATTTAATTCTTTATGTATGAATCTGGTTGTTCACACCTGACAATATTTGATTTATCTTGCTTACATTAGAAGCATTCCGTATGGGTTTTATATCATTCTATAACTGTCTTGAGTTCCTCCAAAACTTCATGGGATTAACGATTGTAGGGAAAAAAGTTGTGCTTGGCTCAAAATATGATTTGATTTTTACCTGCTCCATGAGGTCAAATAAATGCATTTTAATGTTAGGTAGATCTTTGCTGGGTGTCAAATTTGGCTTTACTGGGGAGGTTTATCAAGGGATTTTTGTTTGGGTGTTATTTATTTATTTATTATTTTTTATAACTAATTTCAGGATTATTTATTGGAAACACAGGGCATAAATCCAATAAATAACCTGTCTTTTAATATGTTTATTCGAGGGCCAATTATAAAAAGCAGGCCTCTTCTTCAATGTTTCTTCAAAGCTTGTGGCTGTTTAGATTTACCTTCCTCTCAGTCTTTTAATCTTAGGCATGCATAGAGGAAAGTGTTTCCTTCCCTCTCGAGCCTGCTGCTTGTTATCTTGGGTTTAATTTTTCAAAATAAGCCACTTCAAAGATTACTAGATGACTCTTGGGATACTGGGGCAGGGAGGTGAAGAAGAAATAAGTTTCTGAATCTCACTGCCCTTCCCTGGACTCTGCTCTCTATAAAAACAGCCCCTTCTCTTCCTCTTCTAAGGCTGATCTCATGGAAAAGATCCAAAATACCTACTTGTGTGTTCATGAGGTTCATTACTTAGATGATGTGATAGTTCATTTACCAAAGAGAATGTTCAATTCATGGATTTCCAGTATTTTAACTCTGCTGACTAGGAAACAAGGATTATGTTAGAACATATATAGCATGGAAAGGCTCTTCTGGTGTCAGTGGTGACCTTCCATCTGTTTGGACATCTGGCTCACAATCCTAGCAGAGTTAAATTCTAAATTTCAGAAGACTTACAGTAGTGGCCAAAATTGTGGAAACCTTTTGGGAAAAGTGTATTTTCTAAAACTAGCTAATAACACCACTTTTTTTGGAAGTAGTACCATAAATTTATATACCAATGGAAAGATAATTTAATCAAGAACGTAATGCAATAACTTTTATGAAGGCTTGCTATTAGAATAGCAGTTACAGTATAAAGAAGAAAATTGAAACACACAGAAAAAACGAGATATACAAAAATTATCACCATAGAAAAAATGAGATATACAAAAATTATCACATCAGTTAATACTTAGTTAGGTAACTTTTATCATGAATTACGGCCTTACAACGTCTTCCCATGGAGTGAACCAAGTCTTTTAGTTCTGCAGCTGTTATAATGTGAAGCCAAGATTGAATGATTGCTTCTATTAACTGGGTTTTATTGCTGGGTCACTTCTGACTAACAAGTTTCTTTAGTTGGCTCCATAGATTTTTCAATTGGGTTAAGAAGGTCTGGGCTATTCCCAGGCCATTCCAGCAGCAGAATATGATTATCTTGAAACTCCAAAAAAAAGTGGTATTATTAGCCATCAAACTTCAAAAATACACTTTTCCCAAAACTTTTCCACAATTTTGGCCACTACTGTAAGTTTCAAACCCTCTCAATACTATCCAATGAAAGTTGAATAATAATAAATGGCAACAATCCTGTTTATCGTATACATCAAATGGGTATCCTAGAAGATTCCTTCACACATTTTCTGAGGCTCCAGGAAGATAAGAATATACAGTGGCACCTTGGTACTCATCCTTAATTGGTTTCAGGAGGTGTGATGAGTACCAGAAACCACTAATATCAAACAATTTTTTCCCCATAAGGATTAATGTAGTAGTGGCTCACAAGGCAGCCAACACTGACAAATTCTAGCTTGTGTGTTGAGTACTAAACAAACGATGAGTACCAGGACAAAATTTTCACATCAAAATGCATTGAGTACCAAATTTGATGAGTTTCAAAGCAGTTGAGTATCCAGGTGCCTCTGTATAAAGCATTTCTGGGGGGGGAAAAACCTTATTGTTTGTCAGACCTCTGGAGCAGTGAGCATTCCTGTTATTTTTCGTAATGGTCATTTTTTTATTATTATTCTTTTGCTTAGATCTGAAAGGAGTAGTTTCAGCCAAGAATGATATCCGAGTTGAGATTGTTCACAAGGAATCTGCCTCAAGCAGAGAAAATGAAGAACATCCAGCAATCAAGCAGTTAATGGTAAGGATTCTGGTTTCTCTTAATCCATTGCTGTCCCTCGCTCACGACTATAATGAGTGCAGACATACGTTTTTTTAGTGTAGGAAGGCCTATGACAGGGAGGTATGCTCTTTCAAAATTTAACGCATCGCTTGGAGCTGTTAAAATCACAGAGTGCAACTTTATTAATGCAGACAAGAGAAACCGGAGGGATTGACTATTGCTGTTCGGCAAATAGCCTGTGGGCTCTGATGAAAAGTAAGGTTTCCTACTACTTGATGGAGAAGTTGACATGACCACCAGTGGACCCCAAGGATGTTAAACAGTGCATGAGCATCTACCACCCTCATCTATTTAAGCATGAACAACTGAGATGCATCTTCAGTTGCAAGATGGACGAGTACACCAAGTCTTGCAACAGGGAAAGTTGGTTGGTTGCCTCATTACTGTCAAACCCACTAGATCTCCAAGCTCAAGAGTGGGGTGACCTGAAATTACATGCAATTCCAACTATCTCTCAGAGATGATTCAGGATGGTTGAATGCCTAGGGCTATCTCTAAATGGTAGCTCCCGTAGCAGTAAAAATAAAATATTAAACAAAAGATGCTGCTGATCGAAATGGACAATTCACCTTGAGTTCAACAATTTCGCTACCTCTTTGCAGTGCAAAACATGAGATGCTGAGGTAATGTGATGCCACTGATAGCATCCCCATCTGCCCTCCCCAAACCTCCAAAAAAAGGTGTTTTTTGTTGTTGTTCAGTCACTAAATCATGTCCAACTCTTTGCAACCCCATGGACCATAGCATGTCAGGTTCCTCCCATCCTTCACCGTCTCCCAGAATTTGGCGAAATTCACATTCACTGCATCAATGACACTGTCTCTAAGCATCTCATCCTCTGCTGTTCCTTTCTCCTTTTGCCTTCAATATTCCCAACATCGGGGTCTTCTCCAGGGAGCCTTTGCTTCCCATTTGGTGGACAAAGTATTTGAGTGTCAGCTTCCAAAAATTGAAATTTTTAGAACATCCAGAGAGGGAAGATACTTAATGCAACGACCCCCCGCCCTCCCAACCTTTTGGGAACCAGGAACCAGTTCCGTAGAGAGAGGTTTTCCCATGGACCAAAGGGGGTGTGGTTTCGTGTGTGCTGCCTGCAAGCCACAGATAGAGCTTTGCTTGTTTGCACAGCCCAGTTTCTGGCATCCCACAGGACCCGGTACTGGTCCATGGCCCGGGGGTTGGGGACCTCTGACTTAATGCGTAACTGGAGAGTATGAATATCTCTCTGCTTTAATTAAAACAACATTTTCCTGATGCCATTCACTCCTTAAAATGAAGCTCCCAGCTTGCCTTTTTCCATAGCTAATTTCAATCCTTTGGCCCAAAGGACACCGTGCTATTATAAAGATTGGTAGACCTAGACTGGGTCACGGGCAGAGTTGACTCATTCAAGGAATTTGCTACTCAGCCCTCACACTACTATGTACGTCAGATAGTTAATCTCCCATGTTTGCTATGGAAACCAGATGCTGATGTCATAAAGACTAAAAATATAATAAATATATAATATAAATAATATAAAACATGATAAAGCCTAATAGACCTAATAGACCGGTTGGGGTGGGATTGAAATGGGGGGGAGGGAGTTCCAGACTGGAGGCAGCTGCTGGACTGATGGCAGAATCTCCCCCACCCTTGTTCTCTGCTTCCCACCCGTCCATCTTTTTGGGTTACGCTAAGACACTGAGCTTGTCGATCAAAAGATCGGCAGTTCAGCGGTTGGAATCCCTAGTGCCACGTAACACGTTCCTTGTCCCAGCTTCTGCCAACCAAGCAGTTCGAAAGCATGTAAAAAATGCAAGTAGAAAAATAGGCACCGCCTTTGGTGGGAAGGTAACAGTGTTCCATACGCCTTTGGCGTTTAGTCATGCCGGCCACATGACCATGGAGACAGCGCTTCAGACAGCGCTGGCTCTTCGGCTTTGAAACGGAGATGAGCACCGCCCCCTAGAGTTGGGAACGACTAGCATATATGTGCGAGGGGAACTTTTACCTTTTATCGATGTATTCTCGTTGCATTCTTTTTCACTGACCGTCTTATTGCTCTCTTATTTCCCTTCTGTTTACCATCTTTTCCCTTCTTCCTTTCTGTCATAAGCTGCCTAGAGTACCTCCACGGTGAGATGGGCAGAGAATAAATATAACAAATAAAAATAAATAAATAAAAGTATGTCACAGAAAACAAGAGCAGAGACCTCTGCCACTCAGTTTCTGATGCTCTGTCTCTCTCTCCTCTCTCCTCCAGATATTTCAGGAAGTTTTTCTGTTGAACAGTTATAGGATAAATGTATTTATACAATACTGGGCACAGCTAGTGGGGGATTTTTTTTTTAAAAAAAAGAAGTTGGGTTAAATACTTGCCAAGACATGAAGCTACAAGGAACAATTTTCCTATTCATGCTGCCGTTTGGCATTCCAATGCCAGATTTGCTTTGTCCCTGCTGGGACTACATTATAAATGACTAATATAAGACAACCATATGGAAAGAATATGGAGCCATGGCAAACACAGCAAGTCCAGTTATAAAACAGAGACAAGAAAAGCAAAAGAGAGGCAGAGAAGAAAGCGTGTTTTAAGCATTCCTGTAGACACACTTCTATCATCGATTCAATTTCTCAACCATCTTTTATTTATTTTATATTTTATATTGTGCCTTTATTATTTTTGCAAATAACTCAAGGAGGCAAACATATCCAACACAACTTGTTCCTCCTATTTTCCCCACAAAAACCTATGAGATGAGTTGATCTGAGAGAGAGAGTGACTGGCCCAATGACTAAGATGGGACTAGAAGTCACCGTCCCCTGGTGATTGGCTCACAGTCTTTCAACCAGCTTTCATGGCTAAGATGGGACTAGAACTCACTGTCTCCTAGTGATTGGCTCAAAGTCTTTCAACCAGCTTTCATGGCTAAGATGGGACTAGAACTCACTGTCTCCTGGTGATTGGCTCACAGTCTTTCAACCAGCTTTCATGGATAAGACGGGACTAAAACTCACAGTCTCCTGGTGAATGGTTCAAAGTCTTTCAACCAGCTTTCATGGATAAGATGGGGGTAGAACTCACCATCTCCTGGTGATTGGTTCAAGGTCACCCAGCTAGATTTCATGGCTAAGGTGGGACTTGAACTCAGTCTTCCACTTTGTAGTCTGCTGCCTTAACGACTAGACCAAACTGTCTCTCTTTTTGACTCTTATTTCTTATAGGAGAGATGTGTGGCATAAATATTTAATAAATAAATTGATATTGATTCATTTTGGTTGGAAAGGTGGCCAAGGAAAGACCCAATTTGAGAGGAAATCCTCATGGCTTGGGGAAAATTGATTTGAAACGATACAGATATGCAAACCTGATTCTTGAAATGTCTTTGAAAGTAGAATAAGGAGCTCTCCATCAATTATCGTTGTCTCTCAGTTGATCCGCCAAATTCTAAACCATTCTTTGTTTTGTTTTTGAAACTCTCGGTAAGAACAAGTATCACACAGCTGGATTTTGTGCAAGCTTCTCAAAGCTAAAATCCAAATGTATACCAATACCAAGCTTACTTGGGCACGAGTTTAAATAACCAACTTAAATTTTCATAAAACAGCTTATTTTATTACTGTGGTGTTTTATATACTCCTTTATTAATTCTTGTGCGATACATTCCCAATTTACTACCTTTCAATCCGAGCTGAAATCCACATTTAAATTTAAATAGTTTGTTTTATTTATAACCATCCCATTGTTCAACAAGGGAGCGCATGTTCCGCATGTAGAACATTCTCAGTCCAATCTTCAGCTCCTTCACCTCACTTTTACCAGAATGGTAAACGTTTTACCAGAGATAAATGAAACAACAGTCTGATTTGGTAATAAACTGGTTTCCAATCTTCCATTTATCAAGGCTCATGAAGCTATGAGTCTTCCTCTTCCTCCTTTCCTTCCTCTTCCTCTACTGCAATATCCAGTAATCCTAATGATTGTTTGTTTATTTTTTATTAAATGTCTACACTGTCCATCTCACCTAAGTGACTCTGGGTAGTTTACACAAGTGGTGGGTTCCTCCCGGTTCAGCCCGGTTCTCCTGAGCCGGTAGCGGTGACGATATGACATCACTGAACCGGTTCTGCCCCCCCGCCCTCCCCCCACATCCGCCCCACCCCCGCGTTATTCTTACCTTTTATTTGGCCCCACCCCCAATCTATTGCTGCTTCCTGAGTCCCAGCTGACGGCTAGAGGGAAAAAAACTGTTTAAACTCTTGCCGCAGGGCTTCAACGGTCCGCCCTACAGCTGATCAGTGTTAAAAGAAAACAAATGAGTAGACCGGTGCCTGCAAAAACAAATGAGTAGACCGGTACAGCTCTGCAAGCAGTTAAAAGCCTGGTAGACCAGTACCTCTGCTAAATCCTAAATAATTGTCACATGACCATCAAGCCATGCCCACAAAATAAGCCACGCCCACAGAACCGGTAGTAAAAAAATTTAGAACCCACCCCTGGTTTACATCAACACACACATTGTTACATCTGAAATCAGTGTTCTCCAGATATGTTAAGGCAGCAGCATCTAAAATTACACACAGAGATCCAACAACTTCTCAAATCCCTTTTAGTTCCATTGACACTGGCCAGGAACTTTCCTATTCATTAGGAATAAAATGAGTATATCAAGCTATAAAGAGTTTCAGTGCAAAAGGGCAAGGGCAATATCTTTGAATCGAATCAGAATAGAGCTGAAAGGGACCTTGGAAGTCTTCTAATCCAACCCGTACTCAAGCAGGAGACCCATACTTTTTCAGACAAGTGGCCGTCCAGTCTCTTCTTAAAAACCTCCATTGATGAAGCATCCAAAACTTCTGATGGAAAGCTGTCCCACTGGTTTATTGTTCTTTCTGTCAGGAAGTTTCTCCTTAATTCCAGGTTGCTTCTCTCCTTGATTAGTTTCTATCCATTGTTTCCTGTCTTGCCTTCTGGT